TATTATATAATTATTATCGTGCAACATTTACATTTCCCGGGAAAAAATTTTCACATATGATCATATATAATCATATATGCTCATATACGAAAAATGTCCATATATAAGATACCATATGTATCATATATGATCGTACATGATAATGTGTTTGTCATATATGACAGTATATATGACAAATACATTATCATATACGATCGTATATGATAATGTGTTAGTCATATATGACAGTATATATGACAAACATGTGCATCATATATGATCGTATATGATAATGTATTTGTCATATATACTGTCATATATGACAAACACATTATCATATACGATCACATATGATACATATGGTATCTTATATATGGACATTTTTCGTATATGAGCATATATGATTATATATGATCATATGTGAAAATTTTTTCCCGGGTTATTTCACAGCCGCACTGAGAAAAATGTCCGAATAAATATAATCTGATAATCCAATTACATAATAACAACCGGATATATCTGGTTAAATTGTATATCCGATAAAAAATATAATCGGCTTATCGATCATCGCCCACACAGCACAGAAAGATTGCAGAAATGTTACATTGCAAGATTGCAATATTGCAGCAACGTTGCGCAACATTGCTGCAACGTTTCTGCAGGTTTGCAGCAACGTTGAAATGTCCGCCCTCAGAGAGATTGCAATGCAACATTATAGCAATGTTGCAGTGCAATATTTTTGGAATAATTTGTTTACTAGTTGCATTGCTGCAATATTGCTATTGAAAGTTTGCAATTTTATATCCCTGCAATGTCTCTGCAAGATTGCAACGTTTCTGCAATGTATAATAACTGCAACCATCTGTGCTGTATTCCCGAAATTTGTTTGGATACAACAAAATTTATTAGATCCAAAGAAATCATTTTCTCTGTGTAGGGTATTTCTCGCGGGATAATTCGTGCACCAACAAATCCGTGACACATTCTCGATACAGCAATATTTCTATACCATCCCTAAATCGCGCATGTCCCGCCGGCCGGTCCTCCCCGCCTTCTCTACGACCCTCGGTGCAGTAGACTCTGGTCGCCGGGACGCCGAGGGTCGTCTTCCGATGGCGACGTCGTTGTCGCGGGCAGAATTGCGACAGATGACACAAATTCGCGGACGGTATCAATCGAGTATTCATTAAGGCTGGATCCTCGCGAGTTGGGAAGATTATATCTCGAGATATGGATGGAATAGTATAGAAACGTGCATTTTCAAGTGCGAAACGGGTGGGCATCGTTTGAGGTATCGATTAGAAAATTCGAGCCCTGAGGAGGGAAATTTTATTTGACATTCGACGTGCGGGACACGGACTGCAAATATTGAAACGTCTCGAGTGCAGCAGTTTGATTATTCTTTCCGCGTTGTTTACGGCTTTTCAAATAATTATGAATTAATTTGTTGTGCGAAATTGGTGTGAACGAATTTAATTGCGCAAAGTTGTCCAGTGAAAGAGGGCCTCGATATCGGGGTGATGCAAGGTGCGAGGATGCTGAAGCTCGTGAGAGTCGGTGCGAACGGGCTCAGAAGGCTGCACTCCACTGGCAGGGTAAGAGCGTCTTATGTAAAAAGAAACGAAACAGAATAGATCCAAAGGCGAGTCGTTACACGACGAAAATTTGCGAGAATTGCGACGTATACGCGCAAACTACTGGCAAGGGAAATATTAAACATGGCGTTTACGGAAGTATTACGCAATAACGGGAGCGCACCTGTAACACACATTCACCGAGCTGTGTTAGATCCATACGTTACGTTATAATTTAGATGTGTGCCCTTAAGGTATCGAGTGAGAGAAAAAGGTGACTGATACTCGTCGAGTGCAACCACGTGGGCGGCGGCAATGGCCTATATCGGAGACAAAAATACTTTGACACGTAGCTCGTACGCGTATATGTTATGTTATGCCAACGAGATGCTCAAATTAGACCATTACAGTTAATAGCCTGTGCTCGACAACTTGCCGATAATTAAGGAGAGAAAAATAATTGGTTCTATAATTATTAACTAACCGTTTTATCATATTTTTAATTATTAGCATATTACGGTTATACATGCCATATACTAGGATTCTTCATTCAAATTGTGTTTAAAAAAGTCAATTGAATTATGTTTTGAAAATTATGAAAATCCTATTTATTCATTTATTTGCTGGGATCGTCGAGGGGTATTTGAATTTCATTATTAACATTTTCATCATCACGAACAAGAGATGTGGAGCTTACGGTTGAGTATCGATTACATAACAAACGGCAAGATTAATATCTCAGAGAGGAATCCCGCTCTTTAATCTAGTCGGGCTTTCAGTTTACATTATCTCTATGTGCGTACGTGCAATCCGACTGATCCGAATTAAAGTACACGTGGCAGGCTTCCGCTTACTATGATGTTGATTCATCGAAGGATCAATACAGAGCTACCTAGCAACCAGCGCGATCCCTCTGCGCAACCATCTCGAAATGCTTAATGCCAAGAAACTCCAAATAAGCCAGTCTTTTTAATCACAAAGAAATTATTATAGTTTCTCAGAGAAATAAATACATTGTACTATACGAAGGTTTTATTTTAGGGTCCAGATTTGATAAAGAAAAATACACAGCTATTGAATAAAATGCACAACTTTCTTCATTGTAATTGTTTTATCAACGTATAAACACATTTAGAAGTGTTCAATTAATACTTTTAATTGCAAGAGCATCTTGTAGCAGTCGTTGATATTTATTATAAAAGGTTAATGTAATTCCTGGTTGCTTCATAAGTCATATTATTAAAATATAAGTAAAAAATGCTTTTTGACATTTTGGAATTTTTCGAAAACAAACGAAGAAAACTGGAAAAATTGTTTTCGCAAAAACGAAGCTTCCTCTATGAGTGAGCAAAATGCATGTGTTTTCTGTCAATATTAAAGTTTTTTTAGAGTTAATATATACAGTAATGATAGACAAAATCAAATACATTTGAGAATCGATTTTGGTACTCGAATACTTAAAAAAATCGCATAACTGTCTGAGAACAGAGAACCGAACCGAGAACTATACGTAGAATCGTATATAATATGAACGTTCATTCTCGTTCTTGATCGGAATGTCAAAGTTCCGAGCAGTTGCTACTATTGTAACTGCATAGTATTATATTCAAGTTATTTGTATGAAAAATAATTCAATATAGAATATAGAGAAAAGCCTTCTATTATGAGATAAGCTCGTGATATGAGATAGCAGGGTTTTTGCTATTAAATTAATAGGCATCATCTGTTGGTCCCATCGTTAATTTATTGCCCTTGGAGTGAAATCTGTTTAGTGGAAAATTCATTGTTAGATCGTGCAATCGGTGTGAATAAAGATTTGTGATTAAATTTTTATGTTGACAACCTGCCATCTCATATTAGAAGCCGATCTCACAAAAGAGGACTTTCCTCTATCGAATAATTATTAATAGAAAATTATTATATACAGATAAAGTGGCGAAAATAACAAACATATTTTAAAGTAAAGACCTAGCACTTCTAGTAGCGTTTTGTTGCTCTCGTTTTCGAAATTCGAATCGAGTGGATCTATTGATTCAAATCTTAAATCATTTCATTGAAAGTCTAACGATTAATTTTAACAGTGATAACAGGGATCTACAACGCTTGCTTTAAACAAAATAAAAATGTGGTCTGAAATGAAACAAAATTTAGAAAAAAATCTCAGTTCACCCAAGAACCGAGTCTGAGAAATACATCACTTGTTCTCGAGAATAACGAGAACACACGTTGAGAAATCGAATATTATCGATTCTTCGTACTCGAATACTTCACTCACTACTTATGTATGTATGTACATACACATACACTTATGTGCAAGATTTAAAACTTTCAAATCGAATTTTTACTTATCTCTCGAGTAACAAGTCTACGGCTACACGTCCCAGAGAAAAAGTTTGTTTGTTTGAAATCAAACAAATTTTCTTTGAATTTTGACCATACTAGACTTTTATTTAATTTCAAAGAAATGATTTCTTTACCTTACCCAAAATTTTATTTGATTGAGACTGGAATTTCTAAGAAAAGTCGTATCTATTTCTTCAAATCCAGCAAAGGGTTTTAATAAAATTAAATATAAATTCAATAGATACCAGGAAATATGTGATTTTTACGTATCTCATTTGTTTAACCTAACTACATCTTCTTTCTGGGTGCATAATGCAGAATGAATTAGCGGTTCGTTTAAAGACATTCGGAAAGGCTGTGCTATTATTAATATTGTAACGTTTTAAAATAAAATTTTATTGTACAAATACATTTTTATTTCTCAACAACGACAAAAATGTATTTTTATCTATTTTTTAATAATTACTAACTGTATGATTGTATGTTTCCACATTTTGCTGGACAATATCTCAATTGTGGATAGTGTTTGAGCAAATCGCTGTTTAATTTTATGCAAATAAAAGCAATTACGAGATTGTCTTTCCTAATTTTTAACGGAACATCCACAATTTTACAGAAACGTGCTGCTATACCTGCGTCCACGAGATTCGGAAAAGCAAAGTATGCCTCTACTGGAGCTGCAGTGAAATTAGAATATTCTCAAACACGGTAGGAAATACCCTTACGTTGTCAGCTTAATTTGTTCAGGTAGACCTGAACGAAAATACATGGAAAAGTCTCATCGAATCGACTATATAGTTTTACGAACTATTTTTGCAATAATAATATTCTCTTCATACGAATGTAACGCGAGTATTTCTTTTCGAGTTCCGTGCACCCCGCGCGGCCGCCAGTGGAAACATAAACGTAACGTAATACTGAAACGCGTAATTTGAACGCGGACGTTACGCGTAATCGTGCATAACTGGCAAACGATACCGATGTATATCAAGGAATTGTTTTCTGCAGGAGGCATAGTGATCGTCGTGCAATAAGTTTCTCGACGCGATATCACGCACCGCAATCTATTGGCCCGGCGCAATTGATTAGATCGAGCGTTATTGTCTACCATTTAAGCGCGTTCAGTAACACGCGATTTCTTAAATCGTGATTTATTCCGTCGCTAAACTGAAGCAGAGGGATCTCTCGAGACTGCGAGACATGTCGTGAATTGTGAAATGTTCTCAAAATGGGATACTAATTTGTGTTTGTTTTTCACTCGCCATTATTAAAGTCAGAACGATGGACGATTTCGAATTCAGCGGTCATTACATCGACACGATTGGTGATTTCAAAGACCTGCCATTAAGAGCGTTTCGGTAAGATCATTTTCAAGAGTCTCTAATTATTATCGTTGTCCGATATTTACCGGATTGTTAAACTGAAATTAGCAATTAAAAGGTTGAAGCTTTACTACATGAAACACCCTATTCAATATAAATTAAATTGAAAGTTATCTGGAAGAAATAGATTGGAGAGCGATAGAAGGTAATACAAAAAATGTATTACTCAAGTAATCCCAGGTTTTGTAGAAGAATATAAATTCCTGACTTCATAAAATCTGGCTACGAGTTAAATATTTCCAATAGATTTTTCTATCGATCTGTTCTTAATGTGATTTCATTATCATTTTTTAACATTGTACGTTGCTTAATTTTTTTTATTATACAGTTTCATTCAAGCCTGTGCACTCATAATGAATCCTAAACGTAAATGCTCTTTTCGTCGATCAGCTGATTCTTAGCACCACGATCCTTTCCTCACGCAGAGCTTTCTGCTCATGGTCTAATAAACTCTAATATACTAAGCAATTATTTGTTGCCGGTTTCTGTTTGTTACAATTGTTCATCATCGTATGCAAATTGCATGTAACTTCTCGCTCCCAAGATGTCACCTGCACCAATCTGACGCACATGACGATACTATTTTAAGGCTTATCTTTTCATCTTCGTGACGGGTAGACGAAGGTCAAAAACTAATTTTTTCTCTTCTCGGGTATTATAAGAACCTCGGTAGTATCTAAGACGGAGTAATCTCTTCGAGCCAGTGAGCGAAACGTTCAGATTTTGCACACGTAGACGATCACGTTTTGCCAACTCTTTTCAATCGTGTTATGTGAAGAAAAACGAAAGATCTAGTCGTGTTTTGTGGTGCACTGCAACTCGAAATAATTGGCGATATCTTATTAGATTAAATTTGACTTAACTAAAAGAACGTTTGTTTAAATCTGTTGAACATACAGGAGGAATAAATGAATGAAAACCTTGAATTAAATAATTGTAATTTAACGCTGCGCAAAAAATTGTAACTGATATATCTGCAAGACTTGAGAACATTGTGTTTGTTGGTTTTTAAAAATAAGGAAACAGTTTAAAAAGTTAAAATAATTTTGAAGTACGACAATCACTATGCCGTACATCGAGTCGATCGATTGCGATTCCAAAGCGAACTCTGATCTCCAGTTGGCTAAGCTTTCCGAAGATTACGCGATTAAATCGAAAATCGCGTGTTCGATCTGGGTCGAGAAGAAAAATGATCAATCCACCCGGACGTTGGCACGCTTTCTTAGGTAACAGTCGCATTAACAATTATTATTATTACTAATGCAGAATTGTTTGTCTTGCTTCTCGTTACAGCGAATACAGCTTCATTCATGACAGCCATTATATGTAGTGAGTACTATGCGCCAATAATGCATGATACGAAAATGACGTGATATGAATAGCTTTTTACTAGCACAGCATGTGATATTCTGTCCTTTTTCGCCGACAATAATAACTAAAGACGATAAACGAAACATGAAATGGTCTTATTTAATGTTAGACATAATTTCACACATGCCTAACTTTTTACTTATAATAGCACAGGATTTAATATTCTGTCCCATTTCGTCGACAATAATTTCACTAAAGACAAATATCACACATAAAACGGTCTTATTTAATGTTAGACATAATTTCACACATGCCTAACTTTTTACTTATAATAGCACAGGATTTAATATTCTGTCCCATTTCGTCGATAATAATTTCGCTAAAGACAAACGAAATACACAATTTTATCATTTTGCTTATAATTTCAATGCATGCTTTCATACTAATGTTTATGAATGTATAATGATTTAGTCAAATGGAGAATGTAGAATGCGTTTATTTTATAATTATTTTATAATTATTAAGCAATAGCTGTAGAATGATTTAAGTAATTAAAATGTGATAGTCATTCTATATGTATATGATTTTGTTATTTATAATTAAAAATATAGAAAAATAGTTGTGAAAAAATATCTGTGTTAGTACACCGTTTACAAATGCGTTATTCTCTATCATTTAATAATTATATTTCAATGTTTTCCAGCACTCGAGATCAAGATCAAGCAACGAACGCCGAAGATGCTTTATTTGATATGTTCAAGAAAGAAGAGACCGGTCTCGTATCAGTGGGGGAGTTTCTAGCTGTATGTAAGACAGAATAACACATTTTAACAGAGAGATAAATTCGTGAAATGTTGTAATTCAATGCGAGTTGATATCTGTGTGTTGATATATTTAAGGCTTTAAGAATAACCGGCTTACGAAAGAATGACCCACGACTTCAGGAGTTTACTGACAATCTGAAGAAAGAGCACGCCACGAATAACGGTCGCACTAAAGCTATATCGCACGAGGCGCAGAAGCTCGATAGGGAACAATTTAGACGGTGAGTCCTATGGTCTCAAGAAGTAGGGGAGCGTGAAGGAGCCACGTTTCGAAAGAGCTATTTCTTGTTACAACTGACCGAGTAAACAAATTTTTAATATTTTTCAACATCATGGCGTTGAAAGAGCAGAATTCCTTTTTTTTATAACTTTGATTGTCAACTGTTTAACGACTGAAATAAATTTGTTTGTCAAATCGGTCTCATAAAATAAATAAGTGGCTTTAACTTGCAATGTATTTTTGTTTTATTAACACTCTAGATTAAATATGTACTTTGATTTTCATGCTTAGGAAAATATTCTCTCATGCCCGCTCTCTCCTACGTGTATTTTACGTGAATGCGAAATATTATGTTAGTTTAATAGTTCTAGATATTCTTCATATAACGTAAACTTTTATACAAATTTTATAAGTACGAGTGTTTAAGTATTGGCAAATTTCAATGTCAAATATATTCTTCTCTGAATTATACTGTTTTAATGTTAAGAAAGAAGCTTAGTGTAAATATTTATTGTGCAATAGAAAGTGTCTTTTATGCGCTCTTTCCTCTTTCAGGATTGTCAATCCCAATATCGTATTGATCTCGCGAGCGTTTAAACATCAGTTCATAATTCCCGACTGGTTGGGCTTCACGAAGCACATCGAAGATTTTTATTGGAAATGCAAGACGAACACCGAAGGCAAAGTTGCCTCCTATATACCGCAGCTAGCCAGAATGAATCCGGAATATTGGGGCGTATCCGTGTGCACCATCGACGGTCAGCGATTCAGCATTGGCGATACCTCAATACCGTTCACCCTTCAGAGTTGCAGCAAACCTTTGACCTATGCGATAGCCCTGGACAGGCTGGGTCAGGAAATGGTGCATCAATATGTTGGTCAAGAGCCGTCCGGTAGAAATTTCAACGAGCTCGTACTCGATTACAATAGTAAGTGTTACTCGACCAATTAATGCAACCTGAATAATTGTAAACGATAATTAACGAATGTGGCAACTAAATTAATTTCGGCTCAATTTAAAATCAGAGGAGAAGTGAAGTAAAATGCTTATTTTTTTTTAATACTCTTATACGATTAATTTCTGACACAGACGTGCATCTTTACAGAAAAGCCGCACAATCCTATGATTAACGCCGGCGCGATATTGATCTGTTCACTTCTGAAAACGTTAGTCAAGCCGGACATGGGCTTGGCAGAGAAATTCGACTTCACGATGAATTGTTTCAAGAGATTGGCCGGCGGTGAGAATCTCGGATTTAACAACGCTGTCTTTCTATCGGAGCGAGAGGCGGCCGATCGAAATTATGCTTTAGGATTTTACATGAGGGAGCACAAATGTTATCCGGAAAAGACGAATTTGCAGGAAGTTATGGATTTCTATTTTCAGGTAAATATTGCCTGTTCGGGCGATTTAAATGAAACATTGCAAACTCTTTTTAAATTATTAGAAGCAACAGTTATGATTTCAAAAGTATTTATGAAGATTAAATATTGTTAAAAATTTTCTGAATACAAATACTGTTTTCGATACTTTGTACAGAATAAAACGAGTCTCTTTAAAAAATTTTAACGCAACATTGTAGTGTACCTTAATATAATTCGCGGTCATCTTTCAATTTGGTTAATTTACGATACTGAGGAATTAGAGCGATAGCCTTTATTTCTATTTCGGCGACAACTCATACGTATGTTCTGACGATAAATTTTATTTTCATTGGCAAGTGCTGCGCTATGGAAGCAAATTGCGAGACGATGGCGATAATGGCTGCCACCCTCGCGAACGGCGGCATTTGTCCAATTACCGAGGAGAAAGTCCTAAAACCGGATAGCGTCCGTGATGTCCTGAGTCTTATGCACAGCTGCGGGATGTACGACTATAGTGGACAATTCGCGTTTAAAGTGAGTCAAAGACGATAAGAAAGCGCCGTGTAATATCTCCGGAAATGTATAAGATAACAAATAGTTCAAAGGGCACTGAAATTGAAAAGTTTCACAGACTTTTCAGAAACGTCACTGGCACAATCTTAACTGAATGTTTATTATAATTTAGAATGATAAACTTGTCTACAGCGTTGTTTTACCGCATAAATATATTAGTTAACAATGATAAAAATTTATCCTGAAAATCATGGGACAACGTGGCATTTTGAAGAACTTTGAGAGTTTTTGAACTTTTACCATACATTCTACTAGCCGAAAGAACTATCCTAAAAGTTTTTTGAAATGCCACGCTGTCCCCTACGGGAAGAAAACACTCAAGTTTTGAATGTTAACACTCGATTGTCCGAATTTACTCTCAAACTCGGATGTAAATATTTAAATCTGGGTGTTTACGCCCAACTTTGAGAGTAAATTCGAACAATCGAGTGTTAATGCTCCAAACTTGAGTGTTTCTTCCGTAAGGGGTTCTACGATCACATAATTTTCAGAGTAAATATTGAAAGAAAATTCTCTCCACGTGGCTAATTTATTTATTGTACGTACGAAGTCAACGTTAAGCTTCGATGAAAAGTCGATGCTACATCGCTAAATTTTATTCTAGGTCGGCATACCGGCGAAATCCGGCGTGTCGGGGTGCCTTCTGGTGGTAATTCCAAATGTTATGGGAATTTGCACGTGGTCTCCGCCCTTGGATCCGCTCGGCAATTCCTGCCGCGGCGTGCAGTTCTGCGAGGAGCTCGTGCGCGAATTTAACTTCCACAGGTAACGACATAATTTATCGATAATCGAATCGTTTCTCCAGAAGAAAACTGACCGGCGATTATAAGCAATTATTTCATATCTTTAAACCGTTCTTTCTCTCTTAAGGTAGTTATTTCGTAAAATCATTTATGTGAGAATTGTTTCAAATTTTTACAGTTTATTCTTTATATTAATACGTGCAAAATAAGACTAACTCAATTAAAATTGACCGCCTCAAAGTTCTAAAAAAAAAAAGTTAAAGTTTGCCATGTTACACAACATATTACGTGTAAAACACGTTAAAAATATTATCACACGCAACAATACAATTCGTTGTAATATTATTACACGTGAAATATTTACACATATTATTACGTGTTAAAATATTAATATTTGCATTTGCAGATGCAAATGATGGCACATTTTTTTGAGCTTAACGTTGAGTGAGATTCGTATGAGAAACAAATATGTTATGAAGTAAAATACAATAGAACGAATAACTAGAAAACGATCAAAATTATTGGCCGTCCCGTTTCAACAATATAAGCAGTTAAAACTGAAAAATTGGAAGAATTATGTAGTAGACCCGAGTGTAGTGTAAAAGATGTGGCAACTGCGCCTCAAACTATAATCTTTCGAATCGATTTTATATTATGTATTAATCGTAAGTGTATTTTTTAGAACAATATTGCATCAAGATATATCATTGTAACAATTGAGTGCCGGTCCCTGCCTGGAATAAACTTTTGAGCATTACTGTCGCGAAATAACTACCTTAACTAAATATTCGACATAGCTTTAGTTTTAATATACTAGGCGATACAATTATTTGGCGTTTTTTTAATATTATGTAAATTCTCTATGCCCTGTAATCTACGTCATCGATCGTCATGGAGACTTAATGGAATCCAATCCTTTTTTTCTTCGTTTCGCCTTCCTCATGTCGTTATCAGGTCAACTCATTTTACTATGACTACTATGGTTACAGGTACGATAATCTGAAGCACGCGACGAACAAGAGGGATCCTAGACGGCATAAATATGAAACGAAAGGCCTCTCGATTGTCAATCTTCTGTTCAGCGCCGCTAGTGGTGATGTCACGGCGATGAGAAGGTGAGGTACTCTTTTAAGAAACTGTTTAATAAAGATGAATCTGTGTTGCGTTTTTTTTTTTTAAATCATCTCTGTATTTGGCCAAGTTCGTGCGAATCAGCGACGAAGTTTAAGCGGGGCGAGGCGCAGCGTTGGTAGATGACAGTCGTATTAGTTTCGATTATTATCAGACACTCGATAATTTCAGACACCGACTGAGTGGGATGGACATGACACTGTCGGATTACGACGGCAGAACCGCGTTGCACTTGGCCGCCAGCGAAGGTCACCTGGATTGTGTCGAGTTTCTGATCGAGCATTGCGGGGTCCCGCACGATCCCAAGGACAGGTACAACCTGAGTGGTTCTACAAGATTACGTTGCAATGGTTCTTTTAGCAATTTAGTCTTGCGACAACGAATTATTACACATAATTAATTTAATACATTTCAAAGAATCATACATACGTGCCCCTTTTTAATCTTTATTTATAAATTATTCAATAAGTTAATACATTCAAATAGACGTTTCCTTAAATGAAATTTAATTTCTTCCTTACAACTTTCGAAATAATGGATATTATTTTCGTTCGTGCTAGAATTAACCGTTTTCACGTACTTGTTTATTTCTATTTTTCATTTTAATTTGCATTTGACTTTTTTATTTTTAAATTATCGATCCAGTGTAAAAGTGACAATTGCACGTAATTGCTTTAACAAGCTCTCAACTTTTACAATTAAAAATATATCGTATTTTTAGGTGGGGTAAACGACCAATCGACGAAGCCGAGACTTTCGGACACATGCAGGTGGTGGAATATTTGAACAACTACGCTCTCGTCCACAAGACCGAATTAGAGAACAAACAGAACGAGAGTATCGATGACGACAACGATTCGTGTCGTAAACCGCCGGAAACGGCGGTGCACTCGCCGTGAGCAGTAAGCGATGACGGATTTACGCAAAACTGGTGTGAGTCGAGGGTGAGGGTGGGAACAAGGACTTATGTGAAAGCTGTTAGGAGGAAGAAGCGAGACATATCGATCGTAGCAGCGGAACGAGGTCGCGAAGAAATACGTTTCTATTCCATGTGACCAGAGTATTTTTTAATATTGTACTACTTGAATGATATATAATTATTCCATAATTATTCGTACAATAATTAGTCGTAATTAATATGTTTTGGAACATATTTTTCATTCATCAGTTTTAACGCGAGTGAATTTACATAAGCCTTAAACGGACAATAACGGGGAATAATTATTTCATCATTTTTCGAACTCGTGACCTCGTTCTGCTTACGCGCGATGGAGTTATCTCAGCATTGAGCGGTACACTCAGATTACGAATAGCTGTGATTAATATTACGTATACGTCTTTTTTCCATGATTTAGTTTAGCATTAGAAGCCCGTGAAAAGCTCGTTTCATAATTTCATTAATTTATACTTTACCTCTCTCTATCCCTCACTGTCGATCATACAGTCGCCCTTTGAGGATACACTCCGATATTTTTTCACGTTTTCGACGCGAAAGAAAATTCTAATTTACATATCAGATCACTAAAAGTACAAACCAAGTGCTGTCCGATTCTTAAGTTAGAGATATTTGGTCTTCACGTTTGCCAGAACGTTCTGTATTCTTTATTTAACGGAGATAACATATTTTACAGCGCAATTTTGAGTAAATTGAGCTATTATAAAAAAACGTTTTGATTGAATTATTTATTATATGCGACAAGGCATAAGCTCTCTTGTCTTTTGACACAAGAGTGTTTTAAAAACGGGGGAAAAAATGGCTATTTATTTATAAAGTTTCAGATTCCCTAGTGATGTACTTTGCGCGTTGCAACAGCGTAATGCGTTAACGTAAAAAAGGAAATTACGTATGTTTTGAAATTAGAATCAATTTAATACAGGAAAAAATTTTAATGACGTATGGACTAGTTGGTGCATGTAAATTCAGTTTGTGCAAAACATTCTTTTCAATATTTTTTAATCTCTTTTTCGCACACTTAAATTATTTAAATAATACGAAAACAATAATTTCTTTTATTAAAGATATCGACAATTTACAATATATCGTTTCGACACAGTGGCGCTTATTATTCCTCTATTTAATTGTGGAAATAGTAAGTTTTTTTTAACGATGGCCCATAAAAACATTCTTTTCAATATATTCTAATTTCTTTTTTTCACGTTTAAATTGTTTAAATAATACGAAAATAATAATTTCTTTTATTAAAGGTATCGACAAATTATACCTTTTCGACACAGTGGCGCTTATTATTCTTCCATTTAATTGTGGAAATGATAATTTATTTTTCTACGATGGCGCATAAATACGTGGATAACAAGTCAATCGGGAAATACAGATGTTATCTTTTCTTCATAACGAATCGCGCGTGAATTGTATGTTAAATTCATATCTTTCTGAATATGCTTTCCGCGATGTTTTAGAGATTCCTCGAAGATACGGAATGTATATCCGTTTGTTAGTAAGGAATATTTAATATTTCGCAAGCACGTCCACTGTGTAAGAGAAACTTTCGGAAAATATTACTTCATATAATGTATATCTTACAAGGGGAAGCTCAGGTAACTCACCCTGGGATTTCGATGCCAATTTTTTTTGGTTATTCTGGAGGTGAAAAAGTTTATGCATATGTTAAAAGTCGATTGTCCTTTGCGACTGGTTTTATCTATCGTCTGGAAAAGGGTCTGTGCAGATAATTTTATGTCGTCGACAATGAAATAATTAGACACTGACGTGAGAGACAGTTTGCTGCTATAATCTATCTCTTCCGTCTATAATATCATCTACTATGATACATAGAATAATATGTACGTTGTTTCCATAGATAAGTAGTTAAACAAATAACGCCAATTCCGAGTGCAATTACATAATTATTTCTCAGAGTGTGAGCGACTATTCAGTTTCGCCATACTGTTGTTATTACGCTATATAAATGTGCCGACAGATGCAAAAAGGCTGGAAAAGTCAATTTATTGAGAACTAACGCGTTATAACTAACGATTACGCTAACGTAGCGATCATGTGTATAGTCTATATGTACGTTAAACGACTATTTTCGAAGAAATTAGGTAGGATCGCTTTGCGTAGAGAACCTGATGTTATATATTTTCAAATGGGCAAAAGATGACAATAACATTATTATCGTGTGAGAAACGTAATTCTCGTGCGAGAGGTGGATTCCGTAATTTTCTGTCACTAAAATGACAGAGCTTATGTGGCATAAATTATTTATAATGCACTTTAAGAAACGCATAATTTTTTTACCTCGTCTATTCGCGAGAATTAGTTACAGTATTAGTAGACGTGCGATAAGTTTTGTGACGAAAAACCTTTACATATTTTTCTATGACTGCTCTAGCAACATTGCGATGTTTCCAATAGGACAGTTATTCAGAGACTCGACAATCTCAGAACTCCTATTTCTAGAAAAGATTTTAGTTATACTTGGTAAGCTGTTTGTGTAATTTTCCAGATCAAGTATTGCGTCCACCTCTGTACTTGTTCTGTCTATGAAATAAAGTAATATTAATAAAGTAATGAAAACATTTTCCTTATTTCATTTATTATAATCATAATTGTTGTTTACATTTATGTGTCTAATATTAATAATATTATTAAATTAATAATAATGACAACTGTTAAACTTAATTTATCAATGTTAAACATCTCGCTGTCTAATATAATTATTTATTGCGTAAATAATTTACAATACGTAGTGCATTAATTTAAAATTGACTGTAATTATATATTCAATTTTATTCAATTTACATTATTATAAGAACACTGAAAATATAGAATTTTGCGAATAATTGGATGCAATAAAAAGAATGTTAATTGCTCATTATTTATATTTAAGACGTTAAATTCTAATTTTAGAGGTGTTTATTAATTAATTACATACTTATTGATCAGACGATCGTGAAATACGCAGAAAGCATGTAAATTCGCGATAATAATGGAGAGATAACGGGTCGTCAAATAAACATTAAACAAGCTGCGTACTTTCGTGACGTAATATCGTCATGAAGAACATGAAACGAAGACTAAGAAGAAGCAATAAATAAGAGTATTGAAAAATGGAGATTGGCTTCGACCTCGACATTGTAATATCAGTAATTTGATGTGCTAACCAAACGCGCGCTAATCGGCGCGAAGCAAGCGCGAATAATTGATGCAATTTAGACAAGTCGTAACAAAACGTTATTATGTGATGGCTGACACGGTAAGACAAGCTGCGAAAGATCCATTCACTCGTGCGATAAATGTTCAACAGGACATACCACAGCTAGCGTTAATAATTGAAAAAACATGAAATTAATATTTCGATCGCCTATTGTTAAGTGCGATCATTATTCGAAAGTACGCACTTATTTCGTATGACTGAATGCATGTATTTACAATCCATATATTTATAATTGATTTAGAATTCGTGTATTCACAATTTGTGTAACAATTTCAGTAATTTTATACAATACTATAATTTTAATTAAATTGTATGTACAATATTTCTGTAAATGTGTATCGATGACATTAACAATTCTAAACAATGGATGATTAATAATCCACTGCCCACGGGAATACGAGAATTACGTCATTGTTTTCGACGTGTGTCCTCAAGTACGGTGAATACCGTAGTAGTAGATAGCACGTAAGCGAAACGATTGGGTTTTCCTGACCAAATTTTGTCTCTCGGATGAGCTGTACCGTAACAGGTGAGTCATTAGAAATACTTGACGGCTTCCCATTGGGCTTTGCATTCACTATGCGGCTTTATTCCGTAATACTGAAGTTTTATTTCGATTCATTCATTGTGTGGCGTCGCGCGAATAATTGCCTTTTCGCGTCACATATCTTTCTCAGCAGCAAGCTACTAATTGAATTACTAACTAAGAAGTTTATTGGAAACAAATTTGTGAAAAATTGTTCGACCTTTGTCTAAACTTTAATAAAAACAATTGCCATCGTATGATTCCTGGCGAAAATGCTTGTTTTTAAAAAGTTAATGTTTTGCAAATAATAATTTACGATACTTAATGCGTCAAATTTGAATTGATCGACATGTTTAGGTTTTGATATTTGATAATTAAATGTGGAATTGTATGACACCGCGTACAAACTAAGTGCGCGCGACATTTTTATAAATTTTTGATAAATACAATACGCAACTTACCCATACAGCACTTAAATGTTGAATCAACGTCTCAGAAACGTCTCATTACAACATTGCAATATTGCATCAATGTTATAAAATGTAGATTCAACGTCGAAAAGATATTGCAAAAACGTGTAATGTCCGCTGAACTGTAACGTCTTGTAAACGTTACAATTCAACATTCAGAAAATTGTTAAATATATTGAGTTAACATTGGTCGCGCTTAGCAGAATATTTTTACAACTGTTGAAAGTGCTAACATTGAATTATTCCACTAAAATAATAATCCAATCTTAGCTCAGAAAATTTCTGACCGCTGTAAAAATATTATACATATACATTTCATAATTATACATTTTTAAGTATCTATTTGAGTGTTAAAAAATAACAATTTGTTCAAGATTGTTTTAACGTTACAGCAATATAAAGAATTAATATACAAACATTAACCTAGATGCAACGTAGAAAAGACATTTATACTTCAACATTCAACATTGCAACGTTTCAGCAACATTATTTTAACTTTCTGTGCTGTATGGGTTGTATCCATTTGTGTGCGCGTACAAAATATATAGAAACAGTTTCTAACAGCATTAACAGGTCGAATAAATGAATTTGATTGTTAGATGAAAATGTACATTTTATGACACGAGTTTGCCTGGCTCCACATCACAGGAATTCCCCGATTGTTGACATGCACGATGGATCCCTCATGGACCAATTGACATGGATTTACAATTTGAATTAAAGATTAGAAAATCATCGGCTGAAGATAGACTTACTTGAGAATCAAGCAGTTCGTTCACGTTCATCATCCGTCATTACGATGACGTAGATGGAAATAACGAGCTATACTATCGCAAAACAGCGATGTAGACGAATGTCTGTCCGCGTTTATGATTAGCGCCGAGGCCGGTCGTATTATCATCGCAGATAATTGTATATTTTCCGTGCGCTTACGAATATGCTTGAAACAAAATCGAGCTTTATTCGATTATTTACCTGATTTCTGAGTAACACAGTTATAAATTCCCGATCAACGGATTCCCCGTTTCCAACAGGGAATCTGCGGTTAATTATGTAAAAGATGTTACTTAATAACAGATTACCTATACGCTAAAGAAAATTCTTCCACGCTGATTCATTGTTTCCTTTTCCCCAGGAATTACTTCTATGTTGTAAGTGACTGCGCTTTCTATATTTTATTTAGATTTGATTCACGTAAACAAACAATAGTTGAAAAAAGGTAATATGTCTCTTAAGCTTTGCATAAAGCATTAGGTATTTAATTATAAAATCAGTTGAATTAAAGTTTAACAGATGTAAAGAATATATCTGTGTGTCTCTCACTTCAAATTTAACATTGTACAACTAATTATGAATCGGATAGCTGTTATCTGATTTTGCAAGTTGTGACTTTTACAGGTTTCACGACTTTTGGGCGTACCAGATTTTCTACAAGCAGTTGTTAATTCGTCGGTAGCCAGTCATTGAACCTGACCTTGAAGAACCGGAACGATACAGGTCTCTTAAAAGGTTCGAGGATGGAACCTATGAAATGAAGCTTCGTGTTTGTGTTGGTTAAATCGACTGTTGCTTGATACCGATTGATCGACCTCAAATAACACTACTTTATAACAATGTGCTTACTAAACTTAAATCATTTATTAGTTTCTCGAAATTACCGATGAAATATTACAAAGCACTTCTTCAAATGTGTTTCTTTAAGATTATAATAGCAACCAAGTTTCACAAATGTAAGATAGAATTTTACCTTCAGCAGATTAAATATTTTTTCTGAACGTTTAAATATCATATTTTGTTCAATGTATGTATATTTAATGCATCTTGTTCAGTTTCCTGGAAAATTTGTTTATATACAGAATCGAAACTTGTGAATGCTTTTATTATTATTTTTACGACTCTTAGTGTTTCTTCGAACCCTTTCAAACTGGAATGAAACTTATATCTTACTTAATTTAGGTATAAAAACTCGATCAAATATATTATAAAGTATACCGATGTAATTATATATCGAATTTGACTAAACTTGAACAGAATTTATATCTTTTCCATCTCACCATATTCTTTCCTTGACCTAATTTAGATCCTCATTGCCAAAGCCATCAAGATTTGTCATTGTAAAAGAGTGTGCAATTTTTATTTCCTTTGTCTCAAGACATCAGTCGCTTCCGTGTATTCAGTGGTTTTCCCCTGCATATTAATAGACGTTTTATATTCCCATCTGTTTACTATAGTTATTTAGTTATTTTAATAATATGATTATTACATTTTATTTTTTGCTAATGTTTATTGCGTAATAAGAGATTAATTGTTAATTCTGTCAATTTTCCTCGACGTACGACTACATTGCATGTGCTCAGTTTGTAATCTTTGTTTAGATGCATAGACGTGTATCTACGTTGTTTGCAATCGTTTTGGCTAATAAAAAACGAACAAAAAGCAACCGATTGTTATTTTATACTTTCGTTTTATATTAACGAGTCTAACTTTTCCCGAGTTCTTCTTTGCTGTATTTTTCTTGTAGGAAGATCAACGTAATAGGTAATAGTTTGTACAAAAGACATTGTTATACAGAATTTAAACAAAGCTCATGTCTGAAATTTCTTTAAATTAAATACATTTTATCCATGAGAGAGAGAGAGAGAGAGAGAGAGAGAGAGAGAGAGATTAAAACTATAAATAGAAACTAAATTGTAACAATAGTAATAATTAATAAATAAATTACATTTATTAGCAATGTGGTAATTCTTATAAGGGAAAAAATTCAAATGCCGTTTACTTGTTATTTCACATTCCGTTTAAGCTTGCGAAAAATATCTTCAATTCTGTGATTATTGATTGTCGTAGTCATCGATATAAAAAGCAGGCAGAATTCAGTGAAATCTTTACACACTTGTATGCGAGATATATCAGCTTGACTGCTTAAATTGCAAATGACTTTGTCGCATCGCTAAGAATGTTTGGTAGTCAATTTTTTTGTGTTCAATTTATTGCGCTTATGCAAATACCGGGAATAATGTTAATATGTCTATACTTTGTCCAAAATAATATTCCTGCTTAATGAAAAAGATTTGCAATTATTTTTTTAAGTAAGAAGTTTTGAAACAGGTTATAATAAAATTGATTACTTTATTCACTCTTTAAAAAATTAAGAAGAATCTGGTAAATTAATCTAATAACTTCTGTGCTGTATTACTGCTTTCTTCTTCTCCTTTTCTCTTTCTCTCTCTCTCTCTCTCTCTCTCTCTCTCTCTCTCTCTCTTCTTGTGTTATATTTCTCCTGTTACATTCAAAAGTTTTGTTCATTTATAGCTTCAGATATAATAGATAAATAAAGTTTAAATAAATGAAATCATAAAAACATGCCATTTTATTGGATAGTTCGTATTTACCAATTATTCTTGAATAAACGGAAAGAAATAACTCGCGATCGAAAATGTGTAAAATACTTCATTAAAATGGGACCTTGATATTCGACTTCCACAAACCACACACAAGCGGCAAAATTATTGTCGTTCGATCAGTTTTGATGAATCATTTCCTAAATCATCGATATTTAATGTAATATTTATATTTAACGCTAATATTGCGTTTATTTCCATAACGTTGTTAGCATACAAGCGTATTGCTCCCAAATTGTAATGTTTCTTGGGACCGACGTTGGTTTCTCTGAAACGAAAGAATGTAGGGAATCCTAAACGGAAACACGTATTGGAGAGCGCGACGCGAGAGAAAGAGAGGGTCAATTATTATCCGACGTAAAATCCACGCGTGTGTCGTATATAAGATGTTGTCCTCGTGCGAGAGCTTCAGTCGTTCTTGACTCTGCGGCCATCGAGATATCGGGCCCGACAGACAAAACAAGGATACTGTGTGTGACAGGCGGATAATTGTTTAATTGCGAAAGTGAAAATCGCCATGAGGTTGTACAAGTGTTTGTTGCCAGTGGTGGTGGTGCTGCTTTTGATCGAGGAATCCTTCGCGAGACCTGGTGAGTTTCAAAACTCCTTTTCCTCCACTTCGCGAACAAATTGAGAGGAACGTTATAGCCAGATTGCCTTCCAGATATTTATATAACGATGACATAATGTCTGATTGGAGGGGATTATGTCACACCGAAATGACATTTGCTTTTTGCGCGAAATTAAAACAAAAAGGTCAAATTGACCATCGATGTTTTTCTATTGGATTTTAAATATTTCGAGCCTTGCAAGGTAATAAAATTTCTAAAAGAATTAGCAGATGAAAGAGACGAAATTGCCGAGCGTACAAAAAGAAGTCGTAGATAACGTTATCATTCAATGCTCCGGATGATCTTACAGTATCTTATTTGTAAAGGCGTGTTAGGCGATTTGGTCAATGGCAACGTTGGCAGTTTGCTGGACCCGTTGGGAATCTTCAAGCCAAAGGGTAGCGATGCTCACGCTAGCAGTAATGCCCAGTCGTTGGGAGGAAATCTGAATTTTGGACCTATCGGGATTGGCGGCGGATTCTCCTCGGCCTCGGCCTCGGCCTCGGCGAACAGCGGCGGCGGCGGCTTGGCTTCTGCAAAAGCGAACGCTGAAGCCAACGGATACGGAGGATACGGCGGTTCCAGTGCGAATGCAAACGCCCAAGCATCCGCCAACGTACAAGGTAGGCTCGCGTGTTTGGTGTGCACGAATAAAGACGTGCTTCTATAGTTTTGAATTTCTTTTCAAGCGCGCGGTTAAATAGGATAGTATTCCCACACAGCATTTATGTCAGCAAGATCTCCTTAAAATATCTTTTTGATGATAACTTTTTGAGAAAACAGATATCTAACAAATAAATATATCAAGAGGGCTGTTATGAGAGGTCTAAAAGGTCTCTTGTTTGAGAGATTTCTTGTATAAGATATCTGAAAGATATATTTTGAAGGAATTCTGCCGGAAATAATTCAACAAAATTCTACAAAAAACTTAAATGTAACTGCCAGAATCTAAGAAATTCTACGTAAATTTAAAAAGTGTTATAAAGATCAACATAAAAATACTAGAATTGGAACACTTTTGTTAATTTTTGTTATATTCTACAATTAAGCAGATGTTTTAATTCTTTAAGATTTTGTTGTTTCTCAAAGTTTTAAAACTAGTAAAGTTTTGTACTAATTTTTACAAAATTGTACATTTTCAGGAAATACTACTTGCAATAACTTCTTGTTACAAAAAAAATTAATGCTTCAACGAAGATATAAAAATTTCTACAAATTTCTATTTCAAGTCAATTTTTTGTAGTTATTTGTAAAAGTTTCTTTCCGCTAGGGAAGTTTAATAAATCTCTTCAAATCGACATTAAAATGTCATCTTAAAAATGATTTCTCTAAGGGATCTTTCAAAAGAGCTTCTAAGGTATCTTATTTAGGATGTCTATTTAATGTTAATACGGGAAGTCTGTCAAAGTTCCCACTAGATGCGCGGCGTAGCACTTTCTCGTAAGAAAAAAAAACCGCACTATAAATTGAAAAACACCTGCAGGAAAGTTTTTATGTTTCCTCTGATGTTAAAATGAGTTTTTTATTATACGATCTCGTGTCTACACTCGTATGATTTTCCTTCATACTATTTCTATTCTTTACATTGTCAAAAATTGCTTTTGAACTGTTTGTTAAAACCCAGGTAGCCAGTTGACGTAATTTGTCATTTTGACGTTAAAATGACAACAAATGACGTCAGCTGACTATCTGGGAAATTTCTCACCAAAGGCCTTGCGTTTTAAATATCTCAGAATACATGTCTTATAGACATCATAAACATTTCTTAAAGATGTCTAGTTTGAGATCCAATATTGATATGTATTACAGGATATCTCAAAAAGTTATCTTTCCGATGACTTTTGAAAGAAGTCTTTCATTTCTCCATAAGTGGCGTATAAGAGCTCCTTCTGACTTCACTATGCTGTCTTTCTGAAGATATTTTTGTACGTCCAAATTTTAGATGAGATAACATTAAGAGAACTTTTTGTTATCATCTTGCTGTGTGGGTTCCGACTGACAATGGAGAAGTGACTTGCGCCAAGCCTGTGGGAAATTCTAAACTAACATTCTGAATGTTTCAAATATGTTCACATTATGTTAAAGTACTTTTTATTTATATATTGGAGATTATAAAAATATTATCTGAATATCCCACGCCCCTACACATGAAATATCATGGGGGATATTATGACTTTTCAGCAAAGTGTCTCGACAGAAGACTTAACGACACGCAACCTTGTTCAGATTTGTGTGTTTAAACTTTTATTTTTATCATTATCGACACGCGTTAATGAACGATGCGCTTTTAACGTAGGTTCTTCGGGGATTCCCGGGGGGTATTTCGGCAATAACGGCGGGCACAGCGGTTATTATCCCGGCCCTCCTCACCAAGTCAATCAACCGAATTACGGAAGTTACGGTGGCTCTCAGTCCGGCGCTAGCGCTAACGCGAACGCGAATGCCAATGCCGTCACCATCGGCAACGGCGGAGTACGTCCGATCGGTCCCTCTTATTACCCGTCCGGATCCCAGGCCACCGGCAACGCCAACGCTAATGCTAACGCGAACGCGGGTGTGAATATCGTAGCTGGTGGTGGCACAAACGTCATTCCCGGCAGGTATCCCGGCGGAGGGATAGATAAGATAGAAGTTATTCCCGTTAACACGCTGCCGCTCTCTCGACCAACCCCGTCTGTAATCTACCCGATACCCAACCGGCCACCTGGACCCGGTAAGGAAGACGTGATTGTCGTTGTCGAGGAAACCCCGCAATACCCTCCGTATTATCGCCCGAGTCCTCCCCGCCACCATCACCATCGCCACCAGCACCGTCGACCGAATTACGGCGGTAAATCGAAGCAACAGCCCGTCGAGATCATCATCATCGAGGAGTCGGCGGGGCCTAATCCAGGTGATACTTCATGATCGAGCGCGCTCGAAAGTCATCGCGCGATCATCGACTTGGACTCTAATGCACTAACTGGAGGCAGCTATATGACTTTCCTGCTCTATTCTTACGCAATTCTTCATGGAAGCTATGTCTTAAATAATCGTCTTGCTGTGTTACTCTTTGTACATGTATTTGTATGTGTATATGTCATGTCGCACGGGTGTGCAATGTTGGTAATTAATTGGTAATATAGTTCGGACAAGGGCCACTCAAGATACTTGTATATTCTTCGTGTACATGCAGCTAATTTATGTAATTTGCGCACAAACCGTTTCATTGTACTTCTCGCTTCGCCGACTGAAACACCCTGCACTCTATATCGGACGGAAGTCGGGAATGTGTAAACCGAAAGAGACATTTTCTGCGTCTGCGTCACAGTCAAGTCGAGGATTAAAAATCCCGGTTCGTAATCTGTTATTTAACAGAACATTCCTGTAACGACGACGAGAAACAAGGACGCAGCTGTTAATGCACTTTCACTGTTTTCCTCATCATGACATGCACTCTAAATGGAAGAGATACAGAACGAAGAGTCTGACGTTAAGCGTGACTGAGACTGAGAGCATAAACTACGCGGCTTTTGTTTGACGTGATAATCTTCACATGTGTACACAGCATGTCCTCATGTATCGCGTCATATAATGTTATTGGTCACACAAAAGGAAAAAACCTAATATATCTTCGAAATATTTCTTTACAGCTGATGGCTACGGAAATGGCGGCATTCAAGGAAACAATCCCAAGTACAACAGGAATCCGTTCTTCTCTAGCTCCGCCAGTGCCAACGCTAATGCTGAAGCCGGCGGCGGCCAGGGAACTGTCCCCGGGTCTGGGGGTCACGGGGGATACGGTGGAGGCCCCCTCGGTGGTCACGGTAGCGGCGGGTGTGTACAATGCGGTTCCTCCGGGAGTGCTAATGCTAATGCCAACGCCAAGGCTAACGCTCAGGCTGGCCCGGGTGGACACGGTGGAGGTATCCCTGGAGGAAATGGTGGTTACGGCGGATATCATCAAGGTGGGGGTGCTTCAAATTACCCAGCGGAACCAGGACACCACGGCCAGGAACCAATCGGCGCTAATAACCCCTTCTTCAATTCAGGCGCAAATTCCAATGGCAATGCTGGTGCCAGCGCCAGCGCCAATGCCAACGCCAACGCCAATGCCAACGCCAACGCCAACGCCAATGCAAATGCGGGAGGTGGTGTTAGGAAAAATCCGTTTTTCAATGACGGTGCATCCCACAATGTCGGGGGAGGCGCGAACTATCAACCGGGAAGTTCAGATATTTTGAGCGAGAAACCCAAAGGCATTCCTACGACTTATCCGGGACAAGCTGGAGTGGGATTCCCAGGTTCGTTCGGGGGTAATGCTGGCGCGAAAGCGGACGCCAACGCTGGAGCCGGTGGTATTGGAGGAGGATACGGACCGACCAAACAAAGTCCAATAATTGGACCCGGTGGGCACGTAGGCGGATCCGCGGGAGGCCCAGGTGGCCACGGGTCTGGCGTCAGTTTTGGTGGATATGAAGGACAGGCCGGTGGCTCGTCCGGTGTGAATCCAAATGCTAACGCCGGAGCCACCGGTGGTAATTTCGGAGAATCCGGCGGACAGGGACTCGTCCTTGGAGGATCTGGAGGTCACGGTGGATACGGCGGAGGCTCCTTCGGCCAAGGTGACGGTGGATTTGGAAACGGCGGTGCAAACATTCACGCCGGAGGTGCTTCCGGCGCTAACGCTGGCGCCAATGCCAACGCTAATGCCGGAGCCGCCGGCGGTCACGGAACTGTCCCCGGTGGGTCTGGGGGTCACGGGGGATACGACGGAGGCTCTTTCGGCCAAGGCAACGGTGGATTTGGAAACGGCGGTGCAAACATTCACGGCGGACACGTTGGAGGTGCTTCCGGTGCCAACGCAGGCGCCAATGCGAACGCTAATGCTGGAGCCGCCGGCGGTCACGGAACTGTCCTCGGTGGGTCTGGAGGTCACGGGGGATACGACGGAGGTTCCCTCGGTGGATATGGCGGAGGTTCTTCCAGCGCCAATAGTAACGCTGATGCCCACGCTGGAGGTGCCGGTGGTGTTCTTGGTGGATATGGAGACAGCATTCGAGGAACAGGACATGCTGGAGGGCCACACGATGGTCAAAGTGGACTCGGAGGATTCGGAGGAGGTACTTATGTGTTTTACATATAAATCTGTGTTGTGAGTCCTGTAGGATAAGCACTTTTAAAAAAGAAAACATTTAAGCGGATCCTAAAGCTGCTGGCGAACTCGATCAGTATCGATAAAATAGGAGACGGAATTAAAAACGTCAATTAACAACATGTTTAATTCCAAATTCAAAGTTTTTTAATTCGGTCCGAGAAATTTATAGCCAATCAATTTGCAACTTTTACGAAAAGGCAGCCATTTTCTTAGCTACACATCCCTCAGACCGAGATTTTGGATCGAATTCTAGCGTCGTCAACACTATGACTTTACTAACAATCTGACAGATGTTTGGCAGTAAACTCTCTCGAAAAAACCTGCAACTATTTCTACACGCCATACTGCTCTTTTTCTCTTTTTCTAGAGATGTATTTCTGGACTTACATTTATTAAAAGTAATCTTTTTTTAGGCTATTAATCTTAGTCCTAATTGCACGATATTGTTCTTATATGTTGTCCCTAGAGTATGCTGGTCTCATTTTGTATTTATCGTAGAATTCTTGTATCAAGCAAATATTGTCGTTAAGTGTACCAAAAATTAGTAAAATTTTTAATTTTTTTTTGTTTTTGATATAAAGTCGACCAGCACAGTCCAGATTTTGCTGCGTACTTTAATTCCGTAAAAGAGTTTTGCATTTCTATAAAGCCAAATAAAAGATTACTTCTAATAAAGAATGTCGATAAAACAGACGGCTTTAGGATCCCCTTAACGCATGCATCTCAAAATTCGGGAAATTGGCGGCAGCAGCACGTAGTTTTGAAAATTGGCAGCGAAAATTGTTACCACTTTACTAGGAATAAGCGCGACTTCCTTGAATTATCATTATGCAATATCTTGATGGCGTTTATCTTTGATACGTAATGTCCTATGTAAATATCTATCGTTCGGGTGATCATCGAACGATGCGCATTTCCTAACGACCTCTTACTCATAATTTATTCTGCGCATTATACAAGAGATAAAAAATTATTCATCCTATATCACTGTCGACTAATGATCGAACTCACGAAAACCAGTCGTTCAACCAGTCATCGCAAATCAATCCCCAAGTCGCGGAATACCAGCCGCCACATAATCGCGCACGTTCCCAGTATCTCGATGCATGGATTACGAAGGCCATTGGCTGGAATAACGATAAAAGACACCCGGCATCCTCGGATGGAAAATCCGTTGAGAAGCTCCACATCCATATCCGTGTTTGTCCATCGAACGAGTTCCACTCACCGATCGTGTTCGCTTTTCCACAGACCTAAGCCCCGAGGCCAAGGCGTCAGCGATGTCCATGGCGGAGGCTGTGGCATCGGGACTGATCGTAATTAAATGATTCGCTATCCCGCAGGCTCAAACGCCAACGCACAGGCGTCCTCCAACGCGATCGCGTCCGGTGGCGGATCGGCATCGGCGAACAGCAAATCGTCGGCCTTCACTAACGGATCAGGATCCGCGAAAGCCGACGCGTCCAGCGATGCGTCTTCAGGATCTTATGGTGAAATAGGATCGAAAAGCTCGGCGTCGAGCCACGCGTCGGCCTCCGCCGATACCAGAGACATGCTGATCTTCAGTTAAACATTGTGATACGACGAAGCGAACGACATAATACTCCAATTTATATTTTCATGTTCCACATGACCAGTAACGATATTGCCCAACCTTACAACAAGGATTAGAAAGTAATTATTGGAAGTTAGAAAAATGTATGCCACGAGACTGCCGATGAGTACGTTTAAGTGTATAATCACGAGTTATAAACTTGAACGTATTCTTACGATTGTTAGAAATTAAAGCCTCCCTCGGAATTAAAATTACTTGAGAAAGAATAGAGTATTGCGCATTTATTAAAAAACCGTGTAAGGGCATGTATTTATTTGTATTTGTACTGTAAATCGTGTTGGAGGCAGATCGAACATTGTTTCGCTCAATGTGATGAAAGTGCATAAGATACAAATGACGTAATTTAAGACAAAAGTGTTTCGACGCAATATGGAAATACGGAGACAGACCCCGTCTTCATCTGGTTAATAATGACATATCTGCCTCAGATTGCATCACTTTATACTCATCCGAGACGTTCGGCGATCGGAGTGATTTTAATATGCAGTATAATCTCGTTAATCCGGCCTATTAACAACCAGATAGTATCGGATTAATGAATTTGCCGGATAACTGGAGATCCGAATACGATATAATATGTGAGGCCGTCGTAGCATATAATTAAACTTGTTATATTAAATAAAAATGATGCATATAATTATGCTAATATTCGGCACAAAGCAATTGATTGTTTCGAAAAATAGTTTATATCGACTGGATATTTGTCTTTTTTAAGAAAATGACCAATTGCAATCGATTATTCGCCTCACATTCGACTGTGATTGATCAATTTCTGAAATCTTACGTCTTAGGCCTGGTTCCGCCAACGTCGCTTAACCTTAAGCTTAGCTTAATTAATTCTTCGTCTCTTTCTAACTGTTACTTTAGAAAGAGACTAGCGTAAATTAAACTAAAATTAAAGTTAAACCGGGCACTAAAATCTCATTGTATGTCGCGTAGCGAAACGCGGAAGCTCGCGATAGCGCTGGATTAGGGTACACATTTATCGTAGGACAGACTTTTTAAGCATGTTATTTATAAGCTAGAAATTTCTAGATACTCGAGAACTTATCTATGCAGCCAATTAACACACTTGAAAAATTTGTCGTACGACACATTTTTTCAAGAACGTTGATTGACTGCTAGGATAGAAAGAAAATTTCTAGATACTCGAGAACTTTGCCATCCTGGAAACAATCAACATGCTTGACAAATTTTTCGTACGAGCTAGAAAATGTTTAGATACTCGAGAACTTTTCCATTTTGCAGCCAATCAACATACTTGAAAAATTTGTTGTACGACACATTTTTTTAAGAACGTTGATTGGCTGCTAGGATAGAAAGAAAATTTCTATAAGATATTTGAGAACTTTGCTATTCTGGAATCAATCAACATGCTTGAAAAATTGATCGTACGACACATTTTTCGAGTGTAAAATTTTCGAGCATCTAGAAGTTTTATATCTAGCAGTCAGTCGACACGATTGAAAAATTTGTCGTACAACAAATAATACCAGTCTTAATGGACGTGTCAGATGATCGAAGGGCCGGATTAGCGAGATTATACTGCACATAGTACGATATACGTAGACACCTAAAAGATTTTTAATACTTCCTTTATATTTATAAGCGTACTTAAATTATATATAATTAGCTGCGTGTAGATCGCCTCCTTTGAACTCTGGATCTGTGATTTACATAAAACGTGCCAATGAGATATATAACAATAAAGATACTGTAAAAACTTGTATCGCAAAGGCGTTTGAGTGCAATAAAAAGACCCCGATTAAAATAATTCTATGCTGTTTCCTTATTTATTTCTAATCTTTTTCCCCCTTACTCAATGTCACCCTGTTTTACGTAATACCGAATTTGGCCCGAGAAAACTCGTGTTAATTGTCGCCTCGGAGATCCCGAGGGACAAACGCGATCTCAACTGTACCACTCGTAAGGGTTAATACTCGATGATCAAACCGGGTGTGCTTAAGCCCTCGAGTATTTTTACGAAATCGGAGAATAACAACGTCCGCGATTGGCACCAGCAACATCTCCTCTCTTTGCCTTTATTCTCACGATGGCAGGCGTCTCTGGAGTGTCGGAAACAACAGGGATAAAAACTCGTCGGACTTGTTCTGTACGAGAGTATGAACGAGGAAAACGGAAGAAAGAATCTCGAAGATGGAGAGGGAGAGAGAGAGGGAGAAGGGGAGGGTAGAGCCACAAAGAAAGGAAGTTAAAGAGAGAGAGAGAGAGAGAGAGACTCAATCGTCTTTGTACATGTTGTTTGTCCGAATATGAGAATTCTTGCGCGATTGTCGCAATTAATATGTAATTATTGATAATCGTTTTTTACGTTGCGTGTGTCATTTGTTTAACAGTTTCTTAGAATTGCCGTTTATTATCACGTTATCGTTACACGTATATATGTATGCGTTTAATGGACTTGATGTGTTTTTTTGCAGCCTTTTACACATACTTATGTAATACATAGTTGCGCGACTTGTGAGCACGTGAGAATTTAATAAAATTTGTGTTCTCGTCGATTCTCATGCTGCGTTTTAATCGTCGCAATCAACACATTAGTACATTTCATATCCACTTTTCTCGCATCGACAATGTTAATAATCTTACGCATTAATTAAACATAATCTATAGCTTGATAAACGGTAGTTGACAAAGAGATGTATACTTAAAGTAAAAAAAATGTAACAGAAATGTATAATTTTGTCGCGGAATGCAATTAAAATGTATCTATGAAAATCGTCATTTTATCAAGCTTGAAATGACAAGATAAGACACTCTTTGTTCCCAAGCAGATCTCACTTGGGCATCTTGAATCATCATCGTTGAAACAGGAATAATTAAACTATTATTATCACACACGTTTTTCCCCACGTTGCAGAGTAGACTTCCCGAAGTAATTTTGTCTTTCCTAGTTCTTGAATATGCACCTACTAATAATCCCAGCACGCATATCTAAAAGACATCTTGAAAGCGTCTTTATATAATATCTTTTAGACATGCGTACACTCTGGGTTATTAATCTCGCGAATATACGCACTTTCCTATTGAATTGTAAAATCTTTCGAGTATTAATAACATTGATATAATCAAGGATGTAACACTTTACTATTATTAATATTTTATGAGGCGATATTTTAAGTAAAAAAAGATTATTTTCATCTTTCTTGAAGATTATAAGAAAGAGAAGATACAAGCCCATACAGCACACAAATGTTGAATCAACATCTCAGAAACTTTCCATTACAACATTGCAATATTACATCAATGTTACGAAATGTAGATTCAACGTTGAAAAGATATTGCAAAAACGTCTAATGTCCGCCGAATTGTAATGTCTTGCAAACGTTACAATTCAATATTCAGAAAACATTGTTAAATTATATTGAGTTAACATTGGTCGCGTTTAGCAGAATATTTTTTGCAACTGTTGGAAGTGCTACAATTGAATTATTCCACCAAAATAACAATTCAATCTTAGCTCAGATAATTCCTGACCGTGTAAAACTATTATATATATATATATATATATATATATATAGGGTGTCTTATTTTAAATGATATATGTTACAATACACAAAAATTTTCCATAATTGGAGCACTATTGCAGCAGCATATCCCGAGATAAAATCAAGTAAAAAAAGTCCTGTACTACTTTTCTCTCCGACAAACAGTTATCGGGATATCATAAGCTAAACATTGAAAAAGTTATCAATTTTCTCTTGAATATCTCAAAAAGTATTAGATAAATAAAAAATGTTTTAGACAAAAGTTATTCATATTAATTAGTAGAATAAAATAGTATAATAAACAATGTGGGTTTCCATTGAAGATTTTAAAGTTACCCCTCCCCCCTCAGGGGGTGGGAGTGGGGGGTCAATTTTGGTTCAAATGGATAGGCCCCTTCGAGACAAACAACTTTTACACCGACCATTTTTTTTATCCGACGCATAGTTTTCGAGATATTTCCATGTTCACACTTAAATTGACCACCCTGTATATAAGTATATGTATATATTTATATTTCATAATTATACATTTTTTAAGTATCTATTTGAATGTCAAAAAATAATAATTTGTTCAAGATCGTTTTAACATTGCAGCAATATAAAGAACTAATGTAGAAACATTATCCTAGATTCAACGTGGAAAAGATATTTATACTTCAACATTCAACATTGCAACGTTTCAGCAACATTAGTTTAACTTTCTGTGCTGCATGGGAAGTTCACATAGACGTGTAAAAATATTTTCGGACGTGTGATGAAAAAATGATGACACTCTAAGACCCTTTGCTGTAGGAATTTTCACCTTTGCACATGTGCTGGTCTTCGGTCATCTTCCTCATGTCCCTGAACGGCGAAAGGTCGACCACTCGATATATTTATATACGTATATATGCACATATACACCCTGTATATAAATAAAAATACATTTTCTCCATTTTTCTATCACATGTTACATGACGCTTGTTATATGACATTATGGCGACAAAGTGCAATACTTATCGCTATTGTTTGCCAAATGTGAAAACTTACAATGTTGCATTACAGTAGAGATTAATAATATCAAAATTTTTAAGCAACAACGTTAAAAAAATTTCTCTTTTCAAGATTACAAGAAGCGTGGATGAGGACAAGTTTGAGTGAACGTGCAGGAACTTTCGAATGTGCGGTCCAAGTCAAACTTGTGTCAATATCTATCGACCGCGGCGCGTGGATTCCGATTACTCATGTTAGTCTTCGGCCTACTTCCGGTCGTCCCTGGAACGGAAGGTCGTCCACTTTACGAAGACCAATGACCGTGTCTCAATACTCGGAGGTGCATTGCGAAATTGTGAGTGAGTTCCTTGAATTTCGATGGTGAAGGGATTTCCTATAAAAGCACGTGATACAAGAGTTCAGCTTTGAATCGTTTTTCAGACGTTCAGCAAGTAACAGTGATTTCCGTTCTACAATGAAGAGCTTGCTTTTAATGTTCGTACTCGGCGCGATCTTTTTGAGGAAGTCACTTGGCAAACCGACGGAAATGATAGCGAATTCTGATTTGCTAGATCCCGTTGCCTCGGCTGTGAACGGCTCCGAAATTGGTTAGTGATCAAAATAATATTAACTGATCAAAATTTATAACAAAGTGCCTTTAGAAAATATTTTATTTAAAAAGCTATTTGAATTATAAAATATCGTGCAAAAAGTTGTGTATTTTTCTGTATGTGTACGATATTTAATATAACGTTTTCTTATTTTTTTTAGAGAGAACTGTGTAGTATTAGTGATCTAAGAATTCAAGTATTAATACAAAAAGTCCTCTATTATGAGATAGCAGGTTTTCAACGCCAAAATTCAATCACACATCTTTTTTCGCAACGATTACACAAACCAACAATGAGTTTTTTACGAAACACAAATTTCGCCCCAAGGGCAATGAATTCATGGTGGACTCAACAGACGATGCCTATTAATTTAACAGAAACCCTGCTATCTCACATTAAGAGCCCATCTCGTAATATGGGGCTTTCCTCTACGTAAATAAGATTTTAAATATTAATGTATAACAAAGTGAACACGTGTTATTTCAGAGACCACGAGAGAACAAAGATCGCCGCAATTCGGTTTAATAGGCGGTTACGGCGATTATTATGACTATAATGACGACACACGATATTTCCGTTACGGCAACAGGCGAAAATATTACTATAAACACCATAGGCCACATGGTCTGGTCGGAGGACATGGATGTCGTGGTTATGGCTGTGGTGGAGGGTATGCGTGAAATATTACTTAATTAAAAAGCAAGACAAGAATGGCTATTTTCTTTATAAACGTAACAATTAAAATTATTTGATAAACTAGACCGTTTTTATATAAACGATATAAGTAACGGACGATCGGGACTTTACAACTTTTGCCAAGTGATATTTGCGTAGACCTAGGGGAGAGTTGCCGTACTAGTCACCTCACATCGACATTTCACTATTTAATTTAATCAACATTTAATAATAACAATATGAAATCAATGAGAAGTAAGTAAATATAGACAAAAAATTAACATGACATGACGTCTTATTTTGTGTATGCTAACGACATTTTAAAAATTCGAGTATAACCGATGTTAATTTTTGATCAATTTATATAGCTGATTATAACGTAACTGTGCCACTTTATTATAAATTTTTATTTCTTCATAAAAGATAGTTTATTGTAGAATATTTTACATTTATTGCATATACACATTTACAATTATTATAAGGATTAAATAAATATTTTTATAAAATCCATCAAGTTTTTAAAATTGTACCATCACAAGGTTATCCATCTTACACCGGTGTGATTTTATAAGCAATAAACAATCTATGTAAAAGTGATACAATTAATATAAGTATAAATGTAAATTGCAAAAATAACTTTAAGCTAATTGTATTCTAACGTTCTGTCCATTATTGTTAATTATTATTTTTAAATTATTAAATATTTGACCTTTTTAGCTATATTATTAATCAATTACATATAGTTGTAAAGGTTTTTTGGCAACCCTCCCTGGAATAAAAGCGCCTTGTAGCCCTGAGGGGAACAATAAACAGACCATATTAATCAATTAAATATTAATTTCAATACTTTCTTATATCAGTCTTATATACTATTTACTCGACTTGTTATTATTTTTACTCATAAATTCGACTATTTCAAGGAGGTACGATTTAGGCAGCCGGTTTCCTAAATCGTACTTTTTGCAACATGTTACAAAAAGACTTTTAACAAATTAATTTGTTATTAGGGAAACGTTAAACATGTAATAATTGATCCCCGAAACATCAAACTACAATTTCCAACGGTTGTTTGCGTAAAAATCAAATGGCAACTCTCCCCTACATCGTTTTCCCAACGTAGCAAAACTCAAATTATTCGATGACTTATACATATTTGTAATAAGATTTGTGATAAAGACTTAATAAATAGCTATGATTGGTTGTTTGTAAATATCTGTCAACTAAAATGTGCGAGACCACCGTTTGCATTTCACTTTCTAATTTACGCAGATGGCAACCGGAGTACGGCGGCTATCACCATACCGGGCAAGGAGCGTCTTTTGCCTCAGCATCAGCAGGATCTATAGGTGGAGGTGGTCCTTATGGCGGAGGACATGGCCAGGCCAACGCACAGAGCGCGAGCTTCAACATCGGGCCTTTCTCAGCCTCGTTCAGCGCCGCTCAGTCCTCGTCAGGACAAAATGGATTCTGAATTCTACAGACGGTAAGCACCCAAGCGGAACAAGAAGTCATGATAAAGTCGAAATGATATCTCAATGACTATCAAAAATCATATTTTTGTCGTGACAGAAAATTCATGAAATTACGATTTCCAAGTTTAGAAAGCAAGTTTAGCAGCCTACCAAAAATGAAGTCAAACCAAATGCTCAAGGTAACCAGAAGGAATTGGATAAAACAGGCTTTTAAGCCTAATACACGAGGAGGAAGAAGAAGAAGAAGAAATGATGTCTGATGGCCCGCAATAATTTGAATTTTGATTGTTTCCGATTCTTGTGACTGTATATTAAAGGACTTACATATGATAATAATGCATATAAAATGTTCTCTCTCACAAAAACGATACTATTGTGATAAGATTATAATTTGTATGATAAAATGCAGTGGTATTCAATACTTTGTACGACTTGTACATTCTTGTGCTTGTCTTCTATCTTGTGAAGAGAAACTCAAGTTGCAAATATTTCAGATTCGTAAAGTACAACAATATTTGTGAGATTATTTTACATGCACGAGTGATTCGATACGAGTCATCGAAAAGTCAAAATGTAGTCATACGAAAGTCAAATTATGTTTCAGTATAGAAAGTATTAAACGATATCATTTTGGCTTTCTAGAAATAATTTCTTCTTGTTATCAACTCGGCTGTTGAATGACTTTTTGTTCTGCTTTGGCATTTTATGCTAGATATCGCACGGAAAGCATTCTCTTTTAAAATTCATCCCGAAAATCATGTAATCGTGGGGCAACACGTCATTTCGAAAATTTTAGCAGAGTTTCAGAAAACTCTGATAAAGTTCTTGAAAATGCCATGTTGTCCCACAATCACATGATTTTCAAGATAAATTGTAAGAGAAAATTCTGTCCGTGCATCTAATACATAATAGGTTCGTTCGTTTATTTAATTAAATATCCAAACTAAGCCCCGCTATGCCGATGTACATATAATCAATTATTAATTTCTATTGTTACCACGAACGTAAATGGATCACATCTTGCTGATTTTGAAGGACCAAAAGTGACAATTTCACGCAAGGTCTAGTTATTCTACTACGAATACTTTTGCAAAGATAATATTTTAATCAAAGTCGAAAAATAATTACATACTTTTTATTCTAAACGATGTCATTTATTATCATCACTATTTCATACTAGTATTCCGCAAAATTTCCATCGTAGATGAAAGAGCGAGAAATACCATGTCGTGTCTCTCGTATATCAAGAAGGGTTAAAGCCCGAGGATGCTGCGGCATAGTACGCTACGGGCCGCCCACGAAATTGCGCCGGGCTCGTCTCGGGCACAGGTCAACGAACCCGAGGGGGCCCGGAGGTCGGGCCCGGGAATCCGCGATTCGCATTATATTACCGCGATCTCGTTTGTGCCCCTCTGACACCCCGCGCCGCGCTGACCCAACGCACACGGACGAAACGGGCCTGAAACATCTGTCCGGCGCGGCGGGCCTAACGGCGGGCCCTGAAGACGCAACAACAATCTTTTCGCCGGGGAAATACGGACGTATTTCACTTTCGCCGGCTCGTACTGTGCGAGAGAGCCGGCGATTATGGGTACTGTGCAAACGTGTGCGTTCACGTACACGTTTGCGCGCCTGCGGCTTAGTATGAGTGCGCGTCTGTGTGCGTATGTTTGTGGGACCTGTCCGGAAAGGCCCCGCGAATGTGAGCTGGCGCGGCGTTCGCGCATTGTGCCATTGAGGTGCACGGCCCTTTTCGGGGTACGTGTGAAAAAGAATGAACAAAGGGGAAATGAATCTTCTTGGTTCTCAGGCGATCGGCAGACGGCCAGACAGACGGATTAACTCGTTTTAAAGGGCCGGCTAGACGCCATATTGTTGTTTTGGGCACCGTAGTTTAGGCGCACGACGGCTCCTCGCTCTCTCTCCCGGCGCGACGAACCGGTCCGCTTTTCGTCTCCCGGGAGATGCACCTACACGCGAATCGGAGTGTCGATTATGCATACAACTTGCGACGCTCGAGCGTGCAGTAAATGGCCATTGTTCGTCCGAAGGGAGTCAGAGAGCTCGGGGACCGAGCGAGCGAGTTTAAATCGGATCGTTTCGGATCTGCTAACGTAGGAAACAAGCGTGGCAAGATTGCATGCCGATTTTTTTTTACTCCGAACTCGTAATCACGCGACGCGCATCGTTAGGCTCGACCTGCGCCTCGTCCAAGTGGCCTCGTTTCGCGTCTTTGGGGACCGATTTTTGCAAAATCGATCCCGCAGCTTCGCGCGATTAATATCTCCTCTCGACCTATGAAGTTACGCTTGCAAGCCTTCGACGTTCTTTCTTGCACAACTCCGCGAACGTTTCATTACGCCGCACCGTAATCGGGAGACAATGATGCCTTAGTCATTGCCATAATGCGATTTCAAACATGTGTAATCCCGCGTCGACACAATCGTTAACTGTATAGTTAGGAGATTGCCAGAGGCTTACTCTGCCTCATTAAAGGTGACTCAGCCGAACATGTAAAAAATAAAATCTTATTCTTTTACACGACGCGTATTCTTCTTTAAACAAAAAATATATTTATTTGTCGCTGTCTCATCATTTTGAGGTCAAAATCAGCGAGCATTTAGAAATTCTCAATTTTAAACTTCAGAAGGTTACTTGACCATGTCTCGTCAGACAAGTTTTTAATTACTTCTGGGGACTTATAAGATTTCCTCCAGTCATTTTCAATTTTATTTCACTATTTCGAAACAATTATATTTTCGCAGCTGATTTAATAATCATATTAATTGAACGTAATACGCGCAATTCTGAATGTTAAATGCTTCCTAATTCTTCGCGGATCAAGGAACAGCTACGCGGCCCCGAATCGCCCCTAATTTATTTCAGCATCATCGTCTCGCCGCCATCATTGTGGGCCCATTGTTTACAAACATTCTACGTCACTCGCTAGGAGCAAGTAAATAAGCCTAACCGCGTGCGCGAGCCACCCTCTTGCCTCCTGCGAGAGGATTTCCTGAGCGAGCGAGTTCCCTTTGTCCGCATGCCAGCCACCAGATGTTCCCGAAAATAAAACTGGCAAGATATCGCGACGTAGCGCCGCGATTTGCGCATGAACGAGAGAGAGAGAGAGAGAGAGCGGTGCGCGAATCCGACGCGAGATGAGCAAGGACGGAGGCGGCCCAAGGAGCAACGAGGTGGGGAGAGGACGCCGCGAGACGGAGGGTCCGCTGGATAAACGGCACAAAGGGATAGGAAGCACGAAGGGAGGAGGGCCCTGTTAAGACCGAGGGCCCCCTGAAATCGAGATCCGAAAAGCCCCGTGCAATGACCGCACACGCCTTCACCGGCGCAGCATCCTCCGCTGCGAAATACTCTCTTCGCTCTCCTCTTCACGGCCGGCCGGGAGGAGCGAAGCCCTCGAGGACGGACGCGTAAGATGCGCTCGTCAAAGAACATTGTGGTTCCCCGGCGAGCACTTTATTTGTTATCTAGCGAAAAATACCAATCTTGTAATAGTGATCGATTTTGTAATAGTGATCGATAAAGGGATCCTAAAGCCGTCTGTTTTATCGACATTCTTTGTTAAAAGTAATCTTTTAATTGGCTTTAGAGAAATACAAAACTCTTTTACGGAATTAAAGTACACAGCAAAATCTAGACTATGCTGGTCGTTTTTGTATCAAAAACAAAAAAATTTTATTTTACTAAGTTTTAGTACACTTGATGACAATATTTGCTTGATACAAGAATTCTACGATAAATATATACAAAATGAGACCAGCATACTCTAGGGACAACATATAAGAACAATATCGTGCAATTAGGACTAAGGTTAATAGCCTAAAAAAAGATTACTTCTAATAAATGCAAGTCCAGAATAGGAAAAGAGAAAAAGAACAGCATGGCGTGTAGGAATAGTTGCGGCTTTTTCAAAAGAGGTCGCCGCCAAACATCTGTCAGATTGTCAGTAAAGCCATGCCGTTGACGATGCTAGAATTCGATCCAAAATCTCGGTCTGAGTGTAGCTAATAAAATTGCTGCTTTTTCGTAAAAGTTGCAAATTGATTGGCTACAAATTTCTCGGACCGAATTAAAAAGCTGCGTACTTGGACTTAAAAATGTCGATAATTGACGTTTTTAATTCCATCTCCTATTTTATGGACACTGATCGAGTTCGCCGGCGGCTTTAGGATTCCCTTAAGAAGTAAAATGAAAGGAACAAAAATAAAAATACAGAAACTCATGGAAAAGGAAAGACTACCCTTTTTAAATTCCTCTTCTTGGAGTCACTTGCAAAAAAAAAAGATAATGCAACAGTTTTATGAAGTAACAATTAAACAGTCGCAATTTGCGCTAGCGGAAATTTATATTTGCGTTTGTTAATTCTCGCTTCTGTACTTTTTCATAACCGTAACGAAAATATTCGCGTATGACGGGGCTGGAAACAGGAGAATGAAGAGTGTTGAAGAAATTACGCTCGTCTGCTAAAGATTCGCTGCAATTAGCGTGGTTCATTGCGGGCACCCTGTTATTTTGTAGAACTACAGAAGACCATTAAATGTGCTATTTTTCACGCCCCGGAATGGCGTAGCTTCTCGCACGAGAAGCTAGAATCCCGCTCCAACTCTTCCCATGTCGACGATCTGATTACTAATCCGAGTAACTTGTCATCGACCTCTTAAAGTGAAATCCTCGGTTGAAGCCAACGAACTTTCATTCTCTTGCCTCGCGGAAGGGAAAAATTCTGATAGGATCCTCGTATCCTCGAGGACGGTATTTCTAGCGACGTCCATTCCGAAGGAATGACATTCGTGACACCCGAGATGCGTCAAAGAGGCTCGTTAAAGGTCCTGTCCTGTCGTTAACCATTGTTTAGCCGCTCCTGGGCACCTACGGCCCTGCCAGCCGGTAAACCAGTCCCTCCGTCTGTGAGTAAAAAGGGAGAGGGACAGAGTACGAGTCGTCCAGATAAACAGAAGGAGAGATCGAACGGGTGAGACAGAGGGAGGAGGGGGGGGGGGGGAATCGGAGAAAAAAATGAAATAGAAAGTGGTCCGGCCGGTGCAATAGACTACAGTATACGACGCCTTTAAAGCACCTCCTCTCGCTGGTACCCGTGGGTCTGTTCCTGTGCTTCACGCACTATAGCAAACCCGCGATGCTTTCTTGAAGGCTCCCGCGTCATTGTGCTCGCATTTCTCGTGCGGTTGTCGACTCGGAAAGTATATCCTCAACTTATCGCCGGTAAGTCGAGTACGTACTGCTAGCTATTAAGCCCGAGATCCATTACGAATAAGTGAGACCATATACCGACCCACATGGAGGTTTGTTTTGTCGTTTCGCAAGGTTGAGGGCGAGGATGACGCGCGGAGTGATAAGAGTTAACAGTAGTGTTGAACATACGACTGATTTTTTTTCGACGCGCGACGCTCCGTACACTGAGAACAATGTCCATTGGATAAATCGATTGAGTAGTGTTTCCGATGGAAAAGTAGCCATCGGTTTCTTTTTGTCAAGTTTTCCGACAAAATTACGGATACGTTCAATGAAATTGCAATTACCGAGGAAATTTAATCGAAAACCCGATCGTATCCTTCGTCGGATATACAGTTTAATTCGTTTGTTAATATGTAAATGAATTATCCGATTAGACCGGGATAGTTTTCTCAGTGTATGCTTCTTTGTAGTCTCCTCTTGCGATTCGTGTCGCGTCTAAATGTGTTCATTAAATTGGGAACGATATGAACGCGGTTAATCGTTACAATGAAAAATAAGTATATTTTTTAAGAGAAAGCTTTGATCGAGGAGAAAATCGATCGATCGTTTTAAAGGAATACATTCGAGGGACCGTGTCCTCTGTTTCAGTGCATTTATTATCTTCAATAAATCTATTCCAGGTCCTTTCTAGAGTGGAATATTTCTTTCAGCTCGGTTAGAAAAATAATCCAACCGGATTTCTTACGACGCATTACTAACTTTCTTCGGAGAATATTCATTTCTAATGCTTGATTATAAGCGAAGAGTTTTATGCTGTAGAGAGTGATCGTTCGGTTCCGATAACGTTATTGACTTGCGCAATCCGTTGCTCTTACGTAAGAATCCGCCAATGCTGACTGCTCTGAAAAGTGACTCAATTGGTAATTCTTCGAACTTGCGTTCTCTTACGAATGGTGGTTACAAAATCGTCGAAGGCCTTTTAACGATTCTACTTGAAGTTAACGGGTGTTCAGAATTCTTGAGTACTCAGGCGTGACGCGGGAGTAAAGGTGATCGGATAGTATGCTTTTTTGTGCCATCGAAATCAAACAATCGGCAGTTTTTGCCGTCTGGCATGTAAATGTCTGCAAATGGAAGAATAAAGGTTGCTTTTCTTTACTCGTGAACGCTAATTGTGTCGACGCTAATCGCGCTCGGATAATTTTAGGTGCTGTTCAGACAATTATACTAGTAATAATAGTTTAATTGTATTGTTACAAACCGTTGATGATAATAATCTAACCATATGTGGAGAATTCAATGATGTAATGTCGGAATAGATTGCGCCGAAAAATGTCAGCGCAAATTTTGTTTCTCACCCAATTTGTTGCTTAGTATTTCTGTTTGCTTACTTTGCAGGGTAACAAAAATTTTCGATCTTTGGACATATAAAAATTCCCGTTACAAGATGATAAAAATTTTGGCCCTTTTGCTATTCACTTCAGTCTGTGTCATAATCAATGCTCAAGAGACGGCATCTAACGAAAAACGTAAGTAAAACGGTAGATTGCATATTGGTTTTAGAATGTTTAAAGATTCTTTTAACTTTTAAAAATTGCTTTCGCGAATGTGAACATGAATTGTGTAAAACAAAACTAAGACATGAATTATACGTGGTAAGACATTTCAAATTCCTTCTTTGGCTCGTTGAATTTAATTACAAGATAAAACACTTCATTTTCGTCCACGTTTTTATTTGTTCCAAAATTTTATGCAAATTAAGATTTATTAAATTCGATTTTATCTCTACAGAAAATCGTTAAACAATTTATTTTCCCTTTAATTGTGTAGCATTTTTCGGCCAGACTTTCGATGAAATTGTCGTGTCGTCGGACTTAAATGTCAGAAGGAAATCAAAAGAAAATCGTCAGGGTAAAAGATTATTGTCGAACGTGCCGTCAGCAACTACTGGTCCACCGGAAAGACCGACTGCAATTGCGTCCAGACTCGTTTTCGCCGATGGAAGCCGTATAACGCCGGAAAAAAGGGAGAAACGTGGCATCGTTACAACGGGAAGGAGGTAAATTTACAAAGAATCTACCTTTCTTGTTTATCGAGTCATCAGTTCCGATTTCAATTAATTATGTCTATTGTAAAAATACCGAAATAATCGCAATGTAAATTATTTTGGACGCTTACGCACACACGTTTGGATTTTCTTTCAAACAGCTAAGAAATTTTATAATCAGACAATATCAGCTGCCGATAATATTCCGCTATTTTACTAAATCCTCGATGGATTCGCTCAATTGCTGTTTACCGATGGCAGAACTGCGGAGTAAGGAGTAAACGATTAATTCTCCGAGGGATTCTCATTCGACAATACAAACTGAAACGAAATAATACACTGAACGCAAAATTCTCCGGATAGAATCTACTTGTAAATTGCATTAGAAATTAGAAAAACAGATTTTATGTATTTAATTTTAAGAGCTAAGCTCAGTTAAAAGAAAAAAACGAATTTATATTTGAGATATAATAGGATTTGAATCGGAGAGCGTTGCTTTTATATTATGATCAATGTTTAATTGTATATGTGAAAAGACATACATGACTTTGGCACTTTCAGGTATTTAGATCTGGGCGTCGCGGGATACTTGCTGAAATCTCGGAAACGGTGAAAATTCTACACTCCGAGGACAACCGCACGACCCTCTACACCCTCATCTGTGATCACACTTCTTTCGATGAACTTTTAGGCCACGGTTCATGTAACAAAAAGGATAATAAAATTCTTCTGTGTCATAACACTCCCAGCTTTATTACTGCGCGCTCGCAAAATTACGCTTCTCTCTTCACTTTCTCAAAATTTTAAATTTAATTAAGACAAGATGCACACGTCGCACCCAACCCGTGCAATCTTTAACCAACATTGAGAAATAACGTCGGAAATAATTTAATAAAATCTTTCATTACTACGCTGTTATTAAGATGGTCGATTATAAAAAGTTAATTATTTTTTATCACTGGTGACTTAAAGCATATCCCTCTATTATTTATTTTTACTGTAAATTTAACTTAAATTTTAACATTTATATCTTTGCGCATTATTATCGTTAACAAAGCTCAGATTTCTCTTTCTCGAGTTCTTAAGAGGAATGACATGGTAAATTTTCTCAAGACACTGACAAACGTAATTTGAATACGGTTTCTTTACGAGTAGATCCTTATTGACGACGGTATATCACGGTCTTACAGTACGACCGCCGGTCGATTGTTAGGCATTCCGCGTTTGTGTGCGAGCCGAAAAAAAAGATCGGTCGGTTGAAATATGGCAGCTCGCATTCAAAAGACAGCCGCTGGAACGATCGCCATGCGGCGGTCGCCGTGCATCGTGTTGCTGCACCGCGCCACGCGATGCTCCCACGGCGCGTGACACGCACGTCCAAAACATGTCGTTTACCCAAGCAGAACAAGAAGTCGTATAGAGACAAAATAACATCAAAATAATATGGGCCTGGTTTTTCATTTTCTGATTAATTGTTAATCAGAGGCCAGTCGATTCTCTGTCTCTTCTAAGGCCCGGTCGTTCATTCTCTGGTTAACTGTTTCCTTGGGAAAATGTACCTTAAAAAATCTTGAAATTTCACTTTAGAAAAATAATAAATTTTAAACTTTTATTTAAGATAAACTCAATAAGATAACTTAATAAATAAGAAACTTTGAACTTTTATTTAAGATAAACTTAAAACTTATTTTAAGAATTTAAAAGAAAAGTTTAAGAATTGTGAAAAGTATGTGATGCAATTTATAATACCGCGTGCGGTTTTCTTCCTACGAGAAGGTGCTATGCCGCTTGGCTATCCACAAATTACTTTAAGTGTCCCAAATTACTCTACAATTTTTTACGTAAACTTTTAACTTCATTAAGTAAACTTTTAAATTTGAAACATTACTTTGAAAACTTTGAAATTCATTTAAAGTAAATTTTCCCAAGGGTTAATCAGAGGTTAGTCGATTCTCCATCTTTCTCTATATTATTATTTAATGCCCGGTTTTTCATTTTCCCCTCTTAGATAGTAATATAGAAAAAAGATGGGGATCCTAAGGCCGTCTGTATTATCGACATTCTTTGTTAGAAGTAAACTTTTAATTGGCTTTAGAGAAATGCAAAACTCTTTTACGGAATTAAGATACGCAGCAAAATCTAGATTATGCTGGTCGACTTTATATCAAAAACAAAAAAGAATTTAAAATTTTACTAATTTTTGGTACACTTGATGACAATATTTGCTTGATACTAGCTTGATACTAGTGAGATTTTTGTCAATTTGCTTGTACGATCGATTCGCGTTCTTTCGACGAAAGTCGTCGAAAAGTGACAAGACGGTCATTCAAATAGATATATCGTTTTATCTTTTTAATGTCGTCATTGATATCATAATTTTTAAACGACTTTTTGTTTTGCTTGAGCATTTGCCCATGCTTTTCATTTCCAAGCTTAGCCGATCGTAATATCTCCCTCGTTTCTTCACTTGATTTTCGATCGAAATTAATAATGCAGTTACTAACTGTCAGCTCCAACGTCGATAATTGAAGACAAAAGAGGTGAACGGTACAACGAGATTATTTGTTATTATAGAATAGACCCTATGATTTCTCCATTCTTCTCTTAACTCCTCGTGTAATATACAGAGAGAATTTTCTCTTAAAATTTACTCTGAAAATCATGTAAGTATGGGACAACATGGCATTTTGAAGAACTTCATGAGAGTTTCTTGAAATTTGACCATACATTCTACTAGTAAAATGTATACAAGAAAGTCTTCTATTATGAGATAGGCTCCTACTATGAGACAATGGGTTTTCAACATTCACTTTTACAAATCTTTTTTCGCAACCATTACACGCACGATCTAACAATGAAATTTCCATTAAACGCAATAAATTCATGGCGGAATCAACAGATGATGCCTATTAATTTAGCAGAAACTCCGTTATTTCATATTAGGAGCCTACTATATCTCATAATAGACGACTCTCCTCTACTAATTGTACAATAAGTATAATTACTAGCACAATGTGTGGTAAAATTTCAGAAAACTCTTATAAAATTCTTCGAAATGTCACGTTGTTCCACGATTACATGACTTTTAGGATAAATTTTAAGAAGAAAATTTTCTCCATGTATCCTCATGGTAATCAAAATATGCAGCTCCGTTCCTGCGCAATCAGTTGTTACGTCAAACCTTCCGCAGTTTTCTAATTTCGCGGAATTGTTTTTATTCCCTGTAATTTTTTTGCTTAACGTTTTCTTCGCGTCACATGCGTTTCGCTACTCCGCTCACAAATTCGTCACAGACGCACGCATTGCGATGTCTCCATTTCATTAGTTACAATTACAACGAATCACCTTTAATAAGCATGAGCAATAATGACGCGAAATGAGTTGCAGTCTTCAACTTCCCCGTCTTCAACGAATGATATTGCATTACGCGTGTGTTGTTTTCCTGCACTCACAGAAAAAATTTCCGGATCCAATGCTATTACACTTGAATGTATCATAAAATAGGATCGATATAGCGCCAATCATATTTATTATAGAGAAAGGAATATTTTAATCTTAAATAAACAATTCTAAACTTCTAGAAAAAATATTATAGTATGTATCGTTTTTTGTCGAATATCGTGGTGCCAACTTCATGCGTTGTAAGATGGAGGAAAAATTTATTCTAAATGCAAGAATATATAAGCTTATTACATTTATATAAGTTACTCTTGTCTCAAAACATTATATTAAGTCAATCTTTTTTAATTCGATAGAGGGGAATAAGAATTATTGATTTTATTTTGATATTGTCTTATTTTTATACTAAGTGAGGTTGTGAGAAATATAAATGCGTCAAGAATATTTTTATCCCGGTAACAGAAATTCTTCCTGAGAGGGTGCGCATATGTAACGCGAGATAAAAATTGCGACTATTCCTCGAATCAATCGGACGCCGGAAGACCCTTGGATTTTGATTTACGGCTAGGCATGTAACGTTGCAAACAGTCGATCGTTCGCTTGGCGCATAAGGAACAGGAAAATCTCGTATTCTGAACATTAAGCGAGCTCGACTGAAGTCATATATCATTTCATAGCGATATCGTAGCTGGACTCTTCGCCGAAGAGTCTTCGGCACGCTGACACCCATACAGCACAGATGGTTGCAGTTACATTGCAGATTGCAGTGTAATCTTGCAGAGACATTGCAGGGATATAAAATTGCAAACTTTCGATAGCAATATTGCAGCAATGTTTCAGAAATAATGAAAATACTATATTTTCTATTTAAAAAATTTTTCTAATTACGAGAATTTTATAATGTTATTTTTGTTGATACCAATAATGGGCGAATTATTAAGTACTTGATCAGTGCGATGTTGCTCGCAATCTCCATCTATTGCGAAGCGATATAACCTCGTTAGGTTGCTTCGCAATAGCTTACTATTATGCATTGAAAAAGGCCCGGATGTATATGTAATTAGTAAATTCTCTGCTTGTGTACAACAACAAATTATTCCAAAAATATTGCACTGCAACATTGCTATAATGTTGCAATCTCTCTCTGAGGGCGGACATTTCAACGTTGCTGCAATCCTCCAGAAACGTTGCAGCAATGTTGCGCAACGTTGCTGCAATATTGCAATCTTGCAATGTAACATTTCTGCAATCTTCCTGCAATCTTTCTGTGCTGTGTGGGCAATGAGTCGTTCGTTCATCAACTTTGATCGAGGACACGCTACACCGAGAAAAATTCACATCGGCTAAACTAATTAAATAGCGTTTCCGGAAAAAAAATTTTTTCGATTAAAATATGAACGCATCCGATAAAATTTGACTGAAAAAACCTATGACATTTTTCATCGAATATACAATTTAATCGGATATCCGTTTGTTATTATGTAATTGGATTATCCGATTATATTTAATTGATTATGTTTAATTAATCGAAATAATCGTTGATTTACGATCGCAGAATTAATACGCGCATCCTTCGCGCTTTTGCGAAAGTAAAATATCAATAATGGAATTTAAGAGAGCCACCAGGTGATAGCGCAAAGCGCTCGTCGCCAGACTGCAGCGCGTATAATTTTTGCGTTAAGGTCGAGGTGATCTCTCGATCTCACGCGTCGATCCAGGCCGGAAGTAGCGTCCCGCGACGTGAATACAAATCCGACCGATCAATTTCCCCGGGCAGTGAGGAGAATGGACCGGTGCAGGTGTTTCGTCTTCGACCCGATCTCGCATTTGCATCAGACCTCTATCGCGATGCAAAATCCGTAGCTCCCGTACGTGTATACCGCTTGCGTATATACGCGCGGGCGTTTATGTGACGGTTGACGGTGCACCTGCGACTATTTTATGTCTTCCCTGGAAAAGCTGGACACTAAATCTCAAACGCGGTTATCCGTCGTCGACCCGCTGACTGCTGATCACGGACGTCAGTGGCGCAGCTAAAAGATTGGGCTGACTGTAAGAATGAACGTCGCTTTATCCTGAACTTATGGGAATCTCGAGAATCAGCAATATTTATTACATTTATATTATTTGAAGAATGGCACATTTTTCAGTTTAACAACGATTGTTTGAGCAATTTAGAAAATTAATACCGAGTCGAAATTTTGGCCTTATGTTGAACTCTACAAAATTTACTCCTACTTTAAAACTGATAGTATTGGAAATTTTTTTAAGTAGTTCTTTTAAGTAAAAGATAAAGTAAATTTTTAGAAGTAAATATTCAAGGGAGGAGTAAAAAATATGATG